GCGACTAGACGCCCTTGTGAAATTCGCTAGCAGCACAAGCGGCAGAGCGAGGGAGGCGCTGCGGAGCGTGGCGCTGTCAGTCAATGCGGGGAGAAAACTGGTTACTCGAGTCTTCGCCCCTCCGCTGCCCCATTCAACCTGCCTTGAAAACGCGTTTCTTTGCTCGCGCGCTGCACGCGTTCTGCACGTGTTTTTGAGAGTTTCGCGTCGCGTGCGGTGCGCTCAGTCCGCATTTATTAGGATGCCGCAATTGAGGATTTTTTATCGTGGCAGCAATTTAGTAAAAGGGCAGCGAAGCAAGTTGTAGCAGACGACGCCGTCCTCGTGAGAGCGAAGTGCGTTTCGCAAGTGAAAGACGACGCTGTTTACGACGTTAGAGGTGAATAAAACTTTCTGTACGTTCATTATTATATACTCGTTTTATTTGGTTTACTCTGTGTACTATGCACTATGTTTGTTCCTAGATGGATGGGTAAGGCCGCTTCTCGTGCTTTAGGTTAAGCGGTTCTTGCGCTGTGACTGCTATTAGTTGGGATACCTTAATTTACTAACACCTACCCAAGTTATCGTGCGGTGTATACACAACACTTCAAAAATAAATGGTCTATTTGGGGCTTCTTTCTGACCCACAACAATAATTGACATCTATCTCGCGTGTCTTTCCTTGCATTATCACCGTTCTCATCGCGGGTACTTTGAGTTCACGAACAGCGTGCGTACCATCATGATGAGCGCCCAGCTTTCAGAGAAACTTTTTTGTGTCTGTCTAATCTGCAGGGGAAGAGCGCATTGCTATAAAGGCATTTTATCTTGGTCACGTATCAAAAATGCACCGTGTTGTTCGGGCTGCCCCTGCACACTCAGTAACAACTAGTTCACTGTATCTGCCAACGGACGTGCAACAACGGCTAATGGATTTTTTTTTCTTTTTTTCATAGTTGTCCAAGCTTTTGGCAACCACACACTTCCGTCGGCGCTACGTAGATTTAAAAATATATAACAACACATTACCAATACCACATGTGCACACAGCTTCAACTACTACGTCCCCAACAATATCGAATAATAGTAGCAGCATAAAATATTTATTCACTATTTTTTAAACAGTGCTCTAAAGACGGGCGTTGAAAATCTATACTTTTAAGATGGGGACGTGCATCTCCCAGTAACTCGATAGATTAGAGAAACAGTGACGCTGGAATTAACACACGTAATTTTGAATGTATTGTGCGCGTGCTAATGTTTATGAAAAAAAATGTTTACATACTTTTTTCGGCGCACTGCTTTAATCCATTTCTGTCGTCTGCTTGTTTCGTACCATCGGTTTGAGAATCGGTAGAATTTCACTGGTGGAGTCGACCTCTTCGTGTTTGCATGGTTATTGTGACAGTTGACGACGCAGCGATGTCACCCCCTTTTCTGTTGGGGTGACATCGCGGAACGAGGGACGTTTCACGTGCAGCGCGTGCTTCGCAAATGCGTGGAAGCCAAAGGGAGCGGAAGGGTCGGAAGACTATTGTTGTGCGCTTTTTCTGGCAGGGGAAAGGCAAGCGCTGGCGTCGCCGGGCAAACTTGAGCGGGTCTCCCCTTCTCCCACTGAGAAGCAGACGACATCCGTCCTCTCCCCGGCTCACAAATGTTTCGCGCTGCTTTCAACAAGTCGCTGATAGAAGTTGTGAAACGATATCTTCTTTGGGACGTCAAGATGGAGGATTTCCGCAAGAACCATAAGAGGAGCATTCTTTGGGAAGAACTTGCCGAAGTCGCATATTTCCATAAAGTAAACGTCGTGGCTTGAACTGGCCATGTTCACTGGTGAAGTCGAAGTGCAGCTGTTTTCGTTTCGTTGCTCTCGACGATGCTTTCACCGTAGTGACAATCGCGTGCGGTGCCTTTTTTATTTCAATAACGTTGTTACTACTTTCTTTTTTCTGTTTTTGCGTTTTCAACGCAAGTTATTCCCACGTAGAGGAGCCGCATGGCACGCCGTACTTCTATGTCGCAGCAATTGTTGCTGGTTTAACAAACGATGGCATTTGGTGACGCGGTGCATAGATGAAAGGCTTCACACGAACGAGAGAGCAAGGACGGCTGCTACGGTAGGCGACTTGAAAAGTAGCATTCCACACAGGTCACTGAAAAGGAATTTCATGATGTGACTCAACAAAGAAGGGGCGCGAAGCATGCTGTAATGGTTAGGGGAAATAAGGCACTCATCAGGGGCCTTTATTTTTGTTCTCCCCTTCAACAACACCTTGATTTCTCACTAAAACCCTGGCTGACTTGTCCGCGTCTTCTGCGACGCTTTTCTCGCAAGGAACAATTGCACAGCACAGCGCTCAAGTTTGCAGGCTATCGACAGGTCCTGCCACACTGGCCAGCTGCTCTCCGTGACACTCAGTGCAGGAATGGGCGGCTGGCTAGGCGAAAATAGATGTTCGGTCATGAGCACAACATACACTGCGTAGATAACGAAGAACAGCTGTTGATTTCAGGCACCAGTGCAGCAACACATGCCTAGAAGCATGCATCTAAATTACACGGTCGAATGCTAACAATTGAATGTCACTATGTGCCGACGGCAAAGGTGTGTGTGAAATTATGTGATACTTCGGCTTTCCTGCTCACCACCGCAGCATTTATGGACGCAAATGCAAGCTAAGGCAAGAATTGCTGCGTAGTCCCTTACCTGCACCGCACACAAGTGTATATACAGCAGCCAAAGAACCGGGACAACGAGCGTATCACGTATATTATGGTATACCTGCCGTTGGTGAAACTCGTCCTGGAGTGCTTTACTGAATCATTGAAAAATCTAAGAGGCTTACTGTTTTGGATGGAAGCATACGAATTCGAGCGCCAGAAAAGATGGAGACCATTCAGAAAACCCCAATGAAGGATGTGTTCGCATGAGCCAAAGGGTGACCACAAACACTGCCGAAGCTTACTACTTAGAGTTTTTATAAAAACTCTTATTTTGACACGAGCGAACAGGTGCAAAAATTTAGTTATAAATTTTGCGAGTTGTGTGTTCTGGGCTGACAGAAACCTCGTTCAGCGTCCCAATGTTAAAATCGTTGAAAGCAAAAGCAATGAATCGAAGAAACATGGGAAGTGCTGCGCAAAACACGCGCGCAGTTCTTAAGCATTCACCTAGCTGGAATATGTATAATATAATCATACAAGCAAACTTTTTTTTGTTTCTCCATGGTCACTTATATCAGTTATATGAGCGCGCAACAAGAATCATACGTGAGAAAGCCAGGACAAAACAAAAAGCAACTGCAAACGTTGCTTATTTGTTGTAAGATACATGTTAAAACTAGCTCAGTGTACAGACGCGTAAAAGTCGAGCGGCTATTGATGATGAACCTCGTAGCACAGGGGCGCCAAATGAAGGACACTTGGAGGAGAGCACGGCTTTCAGATACTACTGAAAACAGCGGTTGACCGGCGCCTTCCGCGGACAACACTGCCCGCTAGAGCGGCGGGCGTCGCGCAACAGCAGCGGTGCATGTGAAACGAACGCGCGTCCGCGCGTCCTCCCGCCGCTCATCGCCGCGACCGCCGCCGCTCGTTCGCTCGCATGTGAAACAGTTCACATGTTCGGGTCGGCCCGGCTGAACAGTCGAGACATGTCTTCAATGTACGTGGCGACGCTCTCGTTGTTCCGTTGGTTTCACTTCTGAAGAACGGCCTCTGCCCTTTTCTTTGCGGTCCGTGTTTGGGTACGTAGCAAGAAACTCTCTTCGAAAGTCGTCCCACGACAATAAGGACGCTTCTTGGTTTTCAAACCACGTATGCGCAGAATCTTGCAGTGCCACGTAGACGTAGCGAAGTTTCCTGTCTTCGTTCCAACTGTTCAGTCTGGCGACACGTTCGAAACTGTTGAGCCAGTCCTCGGAATCCTCGAAAATATCACCGTGAAAGACCTCTGGTATGTGGGGCGGGTCCATGACGATATGAGATGCAAATGAAGTCGCTTGGGTGGCCATTGCAGGGGCTCCGGAACTTACGTCCTCCACTGGTCTCGAAGTATCGAAGAGGGCACCAAACTCGGGCTGCTCAACTCGTAGGCAGTGACTCGTGCGTTGGTGTACGGAAGTCAACTGCGCTTGCTCCAACCTTCGCGGTTCTGGGCTATGTTCCCTATCCTGAGATGGGCTTGGAATCATACCCAGCACCTCCACCAGTTTGTAACGAACAAATACACCGCCGGAAGCTAAAACAGCTATTTATTAATGGAGAACTTGTGCCCATCAACTAAATACACCAAGGTTGTCCTAAGCTCGCTAGTGAAAAACCTCGTCAACTTCTTTTGCGTCCCGCCTCGTGCCGCGCCTTCGAAAAACCGCCAGGCTTCTTTTTCCAGCGCGTGGTGTGGTGACACAAACGCATGGCGCGTTTAGCTTGGCGCGTTTGGCTTGTCAGTTGGTGTGGCAGAATTCATAAGAGCAGGAAGCGGCGCAAGACTTCGGTAGGTGCCTAACAACATGCGGCTATATTATATATATATATATATATATATATATATATATAATTTGATTCTCGGTGGTGGTGGGCACATTTCAAATGGAGAAAAATTCAAAAACACTCATGTGCTTATACTCGGGTACATGTTAAAGAATCCTAGATGGTCTAAAGTTTATCCAGGGCTTCCCGCCTCCCCTCCCCCCGCATGCGTCATATTCCCATTGTGGTTTTGGCACGCGAAACAGGGACAGCCATGATTAATTGAAAACTATAGAAATGTTTTATAAACCTATAGAAAGTACGCTAAAGCTCGTAGTTTTTGCTGCCGTGTATGTTACAGCAGATATTCCGTTACTTGTTCAACTAACAAGCCGAAGTGTCATGCGCGCACCAACACGTGCTCTTGCTCATGCTGCTGCCTTAGTCATTCCGTCTCGCTGTTATTATTTGGCTAAATTAATAGCAATATTGTACATACGAGCAGCTTGTATACATTCTATAAAAATAGAAGCAAACAACTTTCTCACCAACGTTCATGTCTTCGTCGACGTTGCGAGCTATGAGCGGAACTGGCGGATAAAGCCTCAGCGATTCCTGCAATGAAAGACAAAGAATACTTGTCAATGTTTTGAACACACACACACACACACACACACACACACACACACGCACACGCACACGCACACGCACGCACGCACACCACACACACACACACACACACACACACACACACACACACACACACACACACACACACACACACACACACACACACACACAAACACACACCACACAACACACCACACACAGGGCATTAGTGTAAGCAGAATCTTCGTTGCGAACTTGCCGATGATGAAAGCCACAAGGCCGTGTCAACCGTATCGACAATAGTAGTATAGGATGGCGATCACATTATTTTTAGTTTCGTTGCTGTATGCGAGCTTATGACGTACCAATTCATCAAGCACTGTATGCACAATGGTGGATCAATTGCACGTGCTTACAGCATTCGTCTCATAGTGGCGCAGCCAGTGGGGGAGAGCTTGAACAACCCCCCTTCTCAATTAATTGCGAAGCGTTTTTTGCGTACTGCAAGCCCCTCTTGCATATCTATCTATCTATCTATCTATCTATCTATCTATCTATCTATCTAATCTATCTATCTATTATCTATCTATCTATCTATCTATTATCTATCTATCTATCTATCTATCTATCTATCTATCTATCTATCTATCTATCTATCTATCTTATCTATCTATCTATCTATCTATCTATCTATCTATCTATCTATCCTTCTTGCCAGACTCGTGTGGCACATGCCTGTGTACCACCAGTGGGTATGTGCCACGGGTATGCGGGTATGTGCCATTGGTATTTGACAGTTTGTCTACCGAGAAAGAGCGAGAACATATATTGGTAATTTAGATGCGAGAGGTTTACGAAAAAGCGACAGTGGTCGTGTTCACCTTACAAACGCAAAGAATGAACGCCATGATCCCAGTAGGAATCGTAACCAAGAATTGTGCGCGTGTTCAAGAGGCACGCCACATCTAGGAACTGCTTTTGAAGAAACCCTATACAGGTGTAATGTTGGTGAAGGAATATATATATATATATATATATATATATATATATATATATATATATATATATATAATATATATATATATATATATATATATATATATATTCTTTTTCGTGCAGTGTGATCAATAGTTCACTTATGCACATGCAACCAACTAGCCCAACTTACCGTCTTACTGTTATAAGCATTACATATGCGCTCCAATGACACAGGCGTCAAGTCAGGTTAACGTCAATTGTAAAAAAGCGCCAAGTTGGTCTACGTAGAACTATCGAGGGCTACTATTCTCGCAAGCACAAGCGCTACATTTTTCCTAGCTGGTTCTGGTGTTGGTAATACCTATGTTGTTCCTCGTATGATTACGCAACTGTAAACCACTTGTTATATAAAATATATACCACTGTTCAACATACATGTCTGTGTTTATAATATTTGTACACTTCTTTAGCGCCATTTTGTAAGGTTTCGCTCAATAAACAATTAAATCGTTTCTCCGTATGTATCGCATACTATGGATTCCAAGGTACGTGGGATCTGTTTCATTTTTTCATGGGTACGCGCATGCGCACAAACACACGTTTGAACATACACAAAGAATGGTTGAGTCCCCCTTCATTAAAGAAACAAGAACAAAAAAAATTGGGAATTCACGACTAACGTCGCGCGAGCTATAGAAAAACTCGTAGCATTGGCGATCATGACATGTTGCGAAATTACAAGTGGATGTGCGGCTGTGTCTTGTAATAGCAATTATTGATAGGGTTTAGTGTCCAAAAGCACGACATGGTTGTGACTGACGCCGTAGCGGAGTGCTCCAGAAATTCGAACCACCCTGGGTTTTTGAACGTGTGCTACTCAAGCATTTTCCCCTCGATCGAAAATGCGGCCTCCACGAGCGGCAATCGATTCTGCGCCCTGCGGGTTGGCAGTCAAGCACCGCAGACACGGGACCACTGTGGCGGGTGAACTGTGGTATAAATAGTCCATCCTAATTATAGATGTTGCATAGCGTCTGAGCAGTGCCAGCTGCTAGGTGGTAAGAGGGGGAGATACAGGAGGTGCTCTGGGTGACACTGTTACCACGTGCTTCCTTACATGGCCTTTCAAACTGCGACGTACCACGAAAACAGTTTCCGAGGAACCGGCATCATGCCGTTTCACAGTTAAAGCTTTTATGAGATCACAACAATGGCCGTTGTTGGCAAAGTAGTTATCTGCCGCCGGCGCCACCAATGTCCGTAATCACTATCGCGCAAAAAAAAAAAAACACCATGTAAGAACATACAAAAGATGGAATGTTGTTGAGTCTCGGCCCCCTCTGGGGAAGCCTAGTATTCCATTACAGAGTTATGCCGCTGCTTGAAGCTTATTCGCAAAAAAAGATGCAATGCACTATCCATGTCAGAAAGAAACGACTTTAACATATGCAATATAGCGTGAAAGAAAAGTGCAATGAAAACCAGGCCTCACAGAATGCGAACTGTGTAACCAGGTGCCACTCAATGTGGGTTGCTTAACGAATGCCCTCTAACCTAATTCTTCACCATCATTAGGCTCATCAACAAAGGGAGAGAGAGAGAGAGAGAGAAGAAATATAGGAAAGGTAGGGAGGTTAACTATAGAACATGTCCAATTTGCTACCCTACACAAGTCAGGAGAAATAAGGAAGTAAAAGAAAGAAAGAGAGAGAGAGAGAGAAGGAGAGACACATTGCACACCACACACAGAGTGGAGGGTTTCAGGGGTGGTTGCTCAATGATGTTGCCTCCAAGTGTAGCAGGAGAGTTCGTGTGGCTATCTACGATGGTGGTCTATGTTGCCATGCTCCCAAGGTTTCTTAAGTAAAGGGCCGAAGATCGAGTCTCCTTAATGCACACCGCAGAGTCCGGTAATCTTATCCATATTGAAGACAGTGGCACCAGCAATGTAAATAGTTTCTGCACATTTCCAGTTATCGCACTTCGACAGGTCAGCCATGCCAATGCGATAGCTGAATGAGTTGGTGAGCACCACACTAACCCACAGCCGACAAAGCATTGTTGCGTCACGTCGCGAAAGCTTGGATGACACTTGAAGTTAAAGCGGCGATTCAAGATTTTGTGGTCGACGAGTGTAGTACAGTAGAGAATGGCAGTGTGTAAGCGTGGCCATATGCGCGCATGCAGCGTCGACTCTTCATAGCTGTATCATCAGTGTGGGCGCTCTATTGCGGGAACATCGGGCCGCCTCGTCGGTGAGGTGGTTAATACTAATCCCACTGTGACCCGGCAATCATTGCAAGACTATGTCGTGTCCTTGATTAGTAGCACGATGACGAATTTGGTTGATTTGAGACACAAACTGATGGCATTTTGCACACCGTATATGCTTCGCACGCATTGGAAAGCCACCTTGGAGTCGCAGGATATGGCCCATTTAGTAGGTGATTCTTGAATAACAAATTTTATTGTAACTAAAAGAGCACTGCGCTCGGAGCCTGTAGATGTCGTGACGTCTGAGGTCTGGAACTTGACGGTGATTGATCGAGAAGGTACCACAAAGGCGCACGTCGAACTTCCCGAGACCGAACCGTCCGTGTAGACATAAATTCGGTTAGCATACGATATATGAAATTGGTCTAGTGAGACATGCTTGAGGGCTGCATATGACAGGCTAGTTTTTAAAATGTGCAGCATTTCTTAGTTGCATGATCTCGTGCTTCGGCGACGGCGGTGGCGCCGTACACACCCTTACTGCACATTATGGCGTATCGCGTCTCGATCCACATGTTCGCGTGTGCCGGCCCAGGAAGACACCGCAAAACTGTAGCTCCTCTCCCCCTCTCTCGCCTCGCAAGGCCAACTCAGGCAGCGTCTGCTAGTAAAAAGAAAATACTGCTCGTGCTGCACAACCGTTCACTGGCCACCCCGTATATGTAGGCACTGGATCGCACGTTAGGAATTCAGTCAAGGGCGTCTTTACTTGGCTTTCGCTTGGCGTTGAAGCTAACGCCTCTCCTTCATTCAATGAATAAAAATAATAAAGGCAAAAGAACAATTAAGCATTCCAAATCCTACCCAATTACACAGCATTCACGCAATACCCCCACCACTCTGCTACGCATTTACTCGAGTTTCTCCCGTGGGAAGATGCGGGTGGTATTTATTTAGATATTCCCGGCACTTCAAAGTGTTCAGGCGGCCTTTGCAGGTAGCGCTCCGGGCATGGTTATATGGATGTGGGTGGGCTGCGAGATGGGATGCTGGTTAGGCGTGACTACTCTGAAAAACGCTGCCTTCGGTCTTTCTAAAGGCACGCTAGCTAGCCGTCTTTCTAAAGACAAGCTGGGACTCTCCATATAAGTGAAATCTGAGCCCGCAGAGGGTCTGCAGTTATACACGTCGTAATCGGGTGGTTTTTGGCGATGGGAATCATTGCTACCACGTTATCACACCTAAGTGTGCTAACACGGTAGGTTACTTCTCACCACCAGCTCTCTTCGTACAATCCATTTCTTAAAGGGTCCCTGCAAACGTTTTGAAAATGGTCAGAAAACGCTGCCGATTGGTAGTAGAGACTCCAGAGAACACGCGAGACAAAGTATATAGCGCACCACGTGGCCCGGAATCCACAATAAGTTATCAAAGTCAGCTAAAAATTTCTTTCTCTTCTTTCGACAAAATCACGGAAGATGGTCAAAAATAACTCGTAGCAAGCCCATCTATCAGCCATTGACTGATTTGAAGTTCGCGCGCTTGGTCGTTACAGAGATTGCCGCGGGAGGCCGCAACTTGTACACGCGTGCCCATGTGATCGCACTGAAAAAACCGTGCAATCGCAGGAAAAAGAAATAATAAGTGCTTAAAGTCACGAGCCGCGGGCGTTGCTTTTCTTTGGCCCTGCCTTCTCTCCCTGCTTAGCTTCAAGCGCTTTCGTTGGGACGAGAAAAGAGAGAATGCAATAGCAGCATGTGACAAATCTTTGTAACTAGTCTCGCGAAGGACGGATGCTTAAAATTTTTGCAGCGTTGAATTAGTGAGACAATAAGCTCTTCCAGTAAATTCATTCCATGCTTTCTTGAAAAAGTGTTCCAGGGCCCTTTCAAGTGTTACTCATCCCAAACCCACACTCTCGCCTTCTCGTCTTCTTTTTCCCACGTGCCATTGTAGACAGGAACGGCCTTCCCTACGTCATTGTTTCCATTTCCAACCCGGAAGCTTTCACTGAAGCTATGAGCGCTCATTTCTCATTAATAATGGTCATGTGTCAAGCATCCTTATCGTACTCCCATCCCTTATGTAATTCCCCTTCATGAGGTATTGTACTCTCACCCCTTATGTAATTCCCCTACATCAGGACCTTAAGGGAATAAAGTGAAAATGAAAAGTAGCCAGCCCAAAGCAATTGTGAAGGACTTGGTCTTCAATGCTTTGCCAGACTCGGATGTCAGTCTTCTCGGCGTTTGACAGCACGGGTGTGCTGGATCGCAAATACCCCAAGAGCACTCTGTGTAGTTGAAACATGGCTGATACGGATGTGCTCCACGTTTTACCGGCGAGAAATATCATTACGTGGGCGATAGAGGTGAGCCTCTTCTTCATGTGCGAGATGCTCATACGGTGTCGATTGAAACGAGTCACCACATCAACAATGTTCACATAATACCTTGCAGATCTGTAGCGGGTGCCTGTACTCTCCACAGAATAAATAATAGCGGGGTGCGTGCTTCCCAACCTGACCAAAATTTTGACATATGGCGTAGTGGTACCTAGCTTGTATACTTGCAAGGTAGCCCCAAGAGAGTTGGCGGCGAGCTGCATAAATGCTGCTCTTTGAGGTTTCGCTGTGACTGTACTGCGTTTTCCACCAAGGCCTGTTTTTTATGAGCATTTTGTTCGTATGTGACGCGGGATGCAACAAAATGACAGAACATCATCAGCGAAACAAAACAACAAGCAAGAAAAGGCCGTCTCTCCCAGAACGCGTGACTACTAGCATGAAACTATTGTCATGCAAGAACCAGACTCACCGTACAGTGCGAACCCAGACCGAAGAGAGTGCGCCAGGCCCTTCCTCTCTAAAGAAAGAACTTCGTTGGGTGGGGCAGTCCGGGCAGTGAACTTGAGCAAACAAGGCCTGTGCTCTTTTGTGCGTGAGCGTGTTTTACAGTTTCTTCTATTATATCTTTGATCACGTGTAGACCTCAATTATTTGAACTAATTAATCAGTTGAAACGTACAATACGTGCAAGAGGAATACAGAGAGGCGAGCCTGTGGCCAATTGAAAACTGGCTTTCGCACAAGTGCCAACACTCGTGCTCTGCGATGACGAACGTGTTGGGCGTCTCAAGAAGCTCGTTGGTTGTGGAATCTCACTAAAAAAAGAAAAGAAAACCGTTCCAGCTGAAGAGAGACTGGCATGCTTTTTTTTTTCATGTGAGGAACTTGATAGGCGGTAACGGGAGATTTTTTAAAACTACATATTTTGGTCAGCATTTCTGGTCTATCTCGCCACAACTTTTTGGTCTATATTGTCACAGTTTTCGATGCTGACATTTAAAAAATAGAGAGAAATAGTTAGGGAGAAATAGTGAGAGAGAAATAGAAAAAAACGGCCTGTAGTGATCCAAAGTAAGACATTAAAAACTGGCAGAGAAGTCAATTATTTTGATGACATTGAATGAAGACGATGTTGTTATAACTCCAGATAGCCAACATTTTGCGACTTTAGTAACCTTCGCCATCACTAAGAAAGCGAAGATTAACGACGGCCAATTGTGTACAAATAAGTACGGTAGCTAGCCAAAGAAGGTCTGAACCTGTACTCTACACACATTGAATTCGATCAAAATTTATGACAAACATTGTAGACATTATCGTGACATCACTGCACAATGTCACAAAAGCAAGGCGAATAACGCCCAGGAAGGAATTGTATTTACAAAAATGGTGCATAGAACTGTGTGATAGCAATTAGTTTCATCTAAAAAACTATGAAGCAGTTGTTTCACTCATTGAATGAGGAGTGAGAGTTACCGAGACAAAATAATCCTTCAAACGTACAAAACCTGGTAGTTTCTTAAGACTCGTGGTACTCGCATAGCACAAATCTCACACAGAGATAATTGTAATGAGATTGAAATATTGTGATGAGATTGCATGAAAACAGTGTTAATCAAATGCAAAAAAATTACGAAAGACTGTCAAGGCTCACCCATTTAGCAGTGTATAACAATGTACTACGTACTTTCGTTGTAGGAAATGAACATGAAGTCAAATCGCTTTATTTATCTTGACATTGGAATAATTTTGTGATGCACATCAATATTCATTATTTCCTCATGCTCTTTAATTGTGGAACAAGTTAGCGGAAGAAGTGGGGAATGCTGACATAGCGCAACCAGTACAATCGTTCGTCCATCTCGTGAATAAGCTTTCTCTAGATTTTTAGTATGCTTCTACAGCAAAACTGCACTGGAAGAAACTTCAAGGAACCACAATGAAAAGTTCATTGAAGAGAGAGCTCGCTGAACTCGAATAGCTATGTTGCAACTTGTATTGGGACCTAAAGAAAATATCAGTTGTTGAAATGATTTGGACCCTTTCATTTGCAATGGAGCTTTGGTTGTCAATTTATGATTATTTAGCATGTTTCGAAAATATATTAAGGTTTCGCTGCACTTATGCAATCTTGACTGCAATGTTCATGAATTCAGACACTGTGTCCACGCTCTCATAAACCATCTCCTGCAGAAAACTCCACTGGGTGGCCAGGAAGTTCACTTTTTTTCAATTAGTTGACTGTTTTTTTAAGTCAAAATTTCTGGTGCTTCCTACGTAGCAGCTACGTACGAGTAGCAGAGATTCGAAAGAGAACAGCTGCATTGCAGATGAAGGTAATCAAGGTAGTAGCTCTAGGTCGATCAATGTACACCAAAACTTAAAGACTCATGACGCTAGGGATGCACAGTACATTGGAGGAAATAGCGGCACAAGAAAGCGCACAGTTCATTACACTCTGAACAACAACATCTGGAAGGTTCATCCTCAAAAGGATTGGTACACCTATTACAGCGATAGATGACAACCACAAAGAAATGCCCAACGATCTCAAGCACAGTATCTCGGTTATGCCTGTTCCAGGGAATGTTCACCCATTCACAACTTGAGAAGAAGGCAAGCCAGTGCGAAATCCCTGTTAGAAAAACCTAACAATCAGGCTTAGGATGATCGTTTGTCGACGCGACTTTCATGTCCAATAAACAAGCCGTCACAACGGTACTTGTGAACGGGAATGGTGAACTAGTCAACTCAGCTTCTATCTACACCACAAAATCAGAAATTGCTGAGCAAGTAGCCACTGTATTGGCTTTTTTAGACACTAATAGATCGAGGATTCACAGAGATGTTAGGGCAGCCGTTCGAGAATTGGCAAAGCAGTAATCGCTAGACAGACTCTGCCAATTCTCAAGGGAAAAGTAATCAAACCGAACACGATTATTTCGTTTCCTGCCCACGTGGAGAAATCAACGGTGCTCCCGCGAACCTCAGTGAATCTGCCCACAATACCGCACGAGAACTTGTCAACCATTCAGCCACAAGGCAAGAAGATGGTGAGGTTTAAGAATGCAGAGATAACCTCCTATCTTACAACGAGCAAATCAAGCACTTTTATCTAGGACGCAGGGTCCTCCCCCCTCCGCACAGTAAACTAAACAGAGCTCAGGCCATTACGATAAGGCTATCAGAAATGAGTACTTACCTAACCACAGTTAATTAGAAAAAAATTATCTGAAGTTCTCTATTCCTACAACATGCCATAAATGCCATGACACCATAGAGCTCATATGTTTTGGCGTAGCTCCGCGTTACGCAGCGACAAGGAAAATGCAGAAGAACGGTGGCACGGAGCTATGCGCACTTCTACAATAGAGGGACATTATGGTCAGTCCAAAGGCTCGCGAGGCGGCTGAAAGGCTAGGTCTTGCGGTGCCAACTTGGTAGCGGCCCGCTTCTGGCTAGGGCCCTAGCGTCACCTATTGTACATTAATAAAGTTCTTTTATTCATTCATTTATCGATCCTCCACAAGGCTTATTTCTTTCTTCTCTCTTCATGACGTAGGACGCTCGCTACACTCTTTCTTGCAGACGGAGGGGCGCATGTCTCAACGGGAGAGTTACGGTGACCTACAGTTCTGAATATGCACGCAATGCGCTGTCTGTACCCAGTATTTCAGACAATTTCAGATGAATATGATGTGAGAGGCTATGCTAGGTGGGACATATATGTTCGAATACCTGATGTGGGCTCTGCAGTAATTTTGTTAAATTCAAATGCGTTAGCATTGAGTCCAAAGGTGCTTCGGTGGGAGACGTCAGAAAAGTTCGAAGAACTAAATAATTCTTTTAAAGGACATTCGTAAGTGGCACTTTACTGGATATATTTCTTACGTGCTTCATTGAATTGGATTTTTAAAAATGTTTGTGCTTTGTACTGCATTTTTTTAGATTCTGTTTCGAGTAATGTCATTGAAATTTTTGTGCCCTCTCCTGCTTAGGTCCGAATACAGCCTGAAGATATTGTAAATAAATAAATAAATAAATAAATAAATAAAATAAATAAATAAATAAATAAATAAATAAATAAGTATGTATGTATACAATTTGTGGGTCATGCTTCTCTCGGATAGAATGTACGAGCAAATGCTCTCTAGACGTGCCTGACGTGTAACAGTACGGTCATATAGAGAACGTCGTTTTTATCACGTGATGTAGAAATTGGGGCGAGTAGGCCACGCCCCATCCTAAACATATATCCCTGGGGAATGCTCAGTTTTCATGCATGACGAAAAACTTAGCGTAGGAAACACTTAACGCAGTGATGACCCTTTTGTTTGCACAGTGAATGTTGTGGATTCAGTGAGATTAATGCAAACATACCTTAACAACGCATTCCAGGTACTTCATTTGCTTGATGTCTTCCACAGTTACATCCCTTTCCACATCTTCAACGAAAATGGCGTCAATTTCTTCGTGCAACTTTGCCTGTACTTCAGGATGATTTCCCAACAGAAAAAGGGTGTAGGCTATGGAAATGGCCGTTGTTTCAAACCCCTGGAAGAAGATGAAGGGGAATGTTTTCGCTGCCAGCAACTACACTTTGTTCTTTTATAGTGAAGTGGTGTTTTAGGTATTTCGAGTTGCATTTTGCTTATATAGCCATAAGTCATTTCTTAGGGGGATATGGATCACAAGCTAACACAACTGACAATAGATATTTATTTATTTATTTATTTATTTATTTATCGAGTACTGCGGACACATAGTCCAAGCAGGGAGGGCAAATAAAATGGTACAACAATGAACATGTCGAAAACAAAAAGAATAAATGAAATAAGAACACTAATACAGAAATGGCGTAAACACGTTTGGCAAAACGCTACACAAACAAATTAATAGTAATCAGCATTTTGGTGTCAATTTGATTACACAATTTTGTTCAGTTATTGTACGAGGGGAAAGAATTTTTAAACGTATTCGTTCTCGTGGAGTAGGGTGTTAATGCATCTTGTCTACGGTGACGAGTGGTTCGGGTCAATAGGGGCGACAGATATAAAGATGAGTCTAGGGGTGTATTGTTCGTGTAAACTAGTTTAAGAAATTCCAGTCTGTGCTTCTGGCTTCTCACATCGAGTGGTTCAACGCGGTTAGCATTCATAAGTTCTGTGGGTGAATCCTGTCTTGAGAATTTGTTAAATATAAATCTAACTGCCTTTCGCTGCACTTTCTCGAGGTTATTCATATTAGTTTTTGTATACGCATCCCAAACAATACATGCATATTCTAGTTTGGTTCTGATTATGGTGTTATAGCATAACAGTTTTACGTCGGAAGGTGCTTTTTTAAGTTTGCGCCTGATCAAGAGGCAAAATATTCTGAAGGCTGAGGAGCAAGTTTCACTGGTGTGGTCATTCCATGTTAACGCGTTGTTAAAGGTGAATCCTAGATACTTGTATTGGGTTACTTCATGCAGGGGGATGAACCTAACTTATACGTATGAAGCAAAGGTAATTTGTTATGTGTCATTCGCATTAGTACGCTTTTGTCTGTGTTTAGTGTCATTTTCCAGTGCATGCACCATTCGAGAATATTATTTAAATATTGTGTAAGCTAATTTGATCGTTGATATAATTAATGCTTTTAAAGAGCCCGCAACCATCGGCAAATAATCGAACCTGGACACCACCTTCAACGATATTACCAATTTCGCTAATGTATATAATAAGAAGGAGAGGGCCAAGGACACTGCCCTGCGGCACACCTGATGTGACTGCAAGTGAGCCCGATTTTCACTATAAATTTCCACGAATTGATGCCGGTTTGTCAGATATGCAGCAACCTAAGAAATGAACAATCTTGGGATTCCTGCGTTTACAAGCTTCAGAATTGATTTATCGTGAGGGACAGTGTCGAAAGCTTTTCGGAAGCCTAGAAAAATTATGTCAATTTGTGCAGTTTTGTCAAGAGTTGACGCAAAAAAAATGAACAACAGTGATCAGCTCTGTGAATGTCGAATGCCCCCTCCTAAACCCATGCTGATACTTAATTAAAACAGAATGCATCTCTAAATATGTAGGTATGCTGTTTGTGACTATATGTTCAATAAGTTTGCAGCATGACGAGGTTAGAGAAACAGGACGGAAATTTTCAACTAGAAGACGATCTCCCTTCTTATGAATTGGTGCACTGTGGGCTGTCCTCCAGTCACTCGGTAATTCTGGCAACAACAGTGACGTGCGAAATATTATAACAAAACATTTCGATAAAGTTACCGCATGTCTACGAAGAAATTAATTAGGGATATTGTCAGGTCCACTAGAACTTTTGGGTTTGAGTTTTAGCAGCATAGCAAGTGCACCCGGTTTCAATATAAAACTTGCATCAGAAAGTTGCAGCGCTGTACAGTTGTGTGAACAATCACTAGAATTAGAAAAAAACACAATGAAAAACTTATTAAAGTTATATAGAAGTTGTAGCTTGTCAGTAACCATCTGTCCATTCACTGTAATTTGTGATATTGATTTCTTTCTTCTCGACAATGTAATTCTCAAACTTACTTGGATCATTTTTAATGAAATTGGGCAGGGACGTGGTAAAGTAATAGGCCTTCGAATTACACATCGCAAGCGCGAGCGTTTTGTAATTCAGATATCAAGTCTGGCTTCTCATCTGCATTCTTCAATCGCTTAATTTTGAGCTTCATATGAATAATCTTACAATTTATCCATGGTGTTTGCTTGTGTACTCGCTTTTTTTTATTTGGTATGAATTTGTTTAGACAAATATGACACATATCTTTAAAGCGAGTCCAAGGTATGTTCACATTATGCAGCGGTTGTATGGGATCCTCACACCAAAAAAGACATCATGAATTTAGAGCGTGTGCAGAGGAAGGCTGTTAGATTTATTTTCGGAAAATACAAAAGAGAACATTCCCCTTAACTTCTAATGCTTACCAATAAAATAAGTTCACTAGAGCATCGCTGTAAACTTAGTCGCATACAGTTCCTGTACAACATAATAAAAGGGAAAATTGGCCTTCAGAAGCCTTACTTTTTAGTACCCCTAAACACACGGTTGACTAGACACAGACACACCTTTTCTCTCGCGCCTATATTCGCCAAAACCAGATCTCACATGAAGAGTTGCTTTTCCGCGCACCAAAAAAGAATGGAACTCTTTACCTGTTCACGACATACAATCGGAAAACTTTACAAAAGAATTGGAAAACCACTTCTCTTAATATTTAGTATAAATATGATCAGTGTTAAACATTTCTTACAATTGTCTTGTGAATCCCATGCTCTGTGTAGTGCTCTGTTATTGTCTTAAGATTTTTTTTCGTTGCTATCTCTTGTGTAAATTGTTTTGCGAAGCAAGCGTCTTGCACTGTATGTTTTCTTCTTGCATTGTTGGTCTTTTTGTGAATGCCTCGTTATTGTATTATTGTATTTGCCCCTCCTGCATGGGCCAGCATATTGGCTTGCAGTATCGATAAATAAATAAATAAATTTTTCTCATCAAAATCAGTTAAGCAGTTTTCTAAGTAATGAATCACACATGCGTTATTTGTGCGAGAATAGTCTTTGACAGAAAGGGCACATGATTTATCGGTTTTTCTACAGAAAGTAAGCAGCAAGAAAATATAGACAAGATAGTGATCTGATAGCCCAGGCTCGACAACCACCGTGAATTCAGCAAATTTGCGAGCAAAGAATACCAGGTCTAAAACTGATGATGAAGAACCTTACACGCGAGTAGGTTCAAATACAGCTTGCATGAAATCGTGAGTTAACATGATATCAAAAAGTATGTTAACATCCCGGTTGTCATGAAGCCCAGAGTCAGTGTACACCCAGTCTATACCAGGCAAATTAAAGTAACTTACAAGAATAACCTTGCTACTCAAGCATTTATTCGTAATACACGATAATTCATGCACAAATTCAGGAGCGGCGTCAAGGGGCCTATAAACTGCGAAAAGTACAAAGCTATAGCCCTAAAGCGATACCCTGATGCATAGGTATTTCAACGAGGGTATTATTTCCAGAGCAACAGCTTCAACCTGATTTTTAACTAGGACTGCCACACCCCCTCTCTTAGAAGACCTATCTACTCGATAAACATTGTAGCAAGGAGGAAACACATCTTGGTCGGTAATTTCCTCGCGAAGCCAAGTCTCAGTAATAACTGTAATATGGGGGTCATGTTGAACTAACAGTATCTCAAGCGAACTTGTTCTATTTGAGAAACTTCGACAGTTAACATTAATTATTCGCCGATGCTTATATATATATATATATATATATATATATATATATATATATATATATATATATAACCACTTCTTTTAAATAAATATATTTTTCTCATCAAAATCAGTTAAGCAGTTTTCTAAGTAATGAATCACACATGCGTTATTTGCGCGAGAATAATCTTTCACAGAATGGGCACATGATTTATCGGTTTTTCTACAGAAATAACCTGCTCACGGCTGGTTATTATTTCATCTACTTTTCTTTCTTCTTACTTACATTCCATTGGTTCTAATAACTTTCCCTGTACATTGCTTGTCATTACTGTCTTTTAGATCTCATTATTATTGTGTTAAAACACGGAAAAACGAGCCCTTAAGTATACACTTCTTTCCCTTATTTCATTAAACGAGGGTCTCGTACTGGCAGACTTGGTGTCATTAGGTTGTATACGAGGGACTATTAATCAGCTGCCCGCTCATAATAAGTTCACGTGCTACGTGACGCCAAACATGCGAATAAAAGAGTGTTTTCACACTCGTCGCTTGGCTTATAGATGGCGCTGACTGTCACTCCTACTTCTAAATTCACATATAAACCCAAAAAAGTGGGTGGAGAGAAGGCAGCTGTGGTAGCTCAGTGGTTAGAGCATCGAACGCGTTATTCGAAGGTCGTAGGTTCGATTCCTGCTCACGGCTGATTATTTTTCATCCACTTTTCTTTCTTCTTATTTACATTCCATTGGTTCAAATAACTTCCCCTGTACATTGCTTGTCATTAGTGTCTGTTAGATCTCATTATTCTTGTGTTAAAACACGAAAAAACGAGCCCTTAAGTATACACTTCTTTCCCTTATTATATATATATATATATATATATATATAACAACATAAAAGGTACTTCAAAGTAAAAAGTGCTTTTATTAAATCACATTACGCAAAATAAACAAAAAAATATCGCAATCATACATTGTAAACATCACACCGCTTTGAAATAATTTCTACTGGCAGTGCTAATGCGGGCAGTGTTATAGAAAGAAAAAAAATTCAATATCAGTTTATTGGCGCTATGGTCTGGGAGATTATTTCAATTCTTTATGGTCATGGAAAGAAGGAACTACCATATTCCTGCGTTTTGTACAGGCATTCTAATATTTTCGGTTAATGATTCCGTCGTATTAAGACGTATGTTCTTCATAAGAGACACTCATGGGAATTAATGGCATTTTTATAGCAAATATTAATAAGAAATTTGGGTATAAGTTTTGGTTCCCTCACCATTAGTGCCCTTCCTGTTAGC